TAATGATTTTTGACCGTGATCGCGTTCAATCGGCGGTAGTCCTGCATGGGTCGAAGCGTCCCTTCCTTCTTTTTGATGAAGAAGAAGGGGGACGAGATAGGCGACTTCAATTCCCGTATGTAGCCCTTTGCTAGTTGCTCCTTGAGGAACTTGTCAAGCTCCTCCTGCTCGTTGTTCGACAGGGGGTACACTTTCGAGTGGAACGTGGAGTAGCCGGGCACGAGTTCGATTGCGTGATCATACGGCTTCCTTTTGGGTAACCGTTCTGATGCTTCTTTGGAGAAGACATTCAGGAACTCGTGGTACTGTTTAGGTACCGACTCCTCGGCGGTCTTAACGACCTTCTTCTTGATCTCTTCCTCAGCGAACAGCTGGGAATACGTGTGCCCTGCTGCGACGAACAGCTGAGGGGCGCCGGGAAGCGTGATACCCTGCTCCCAGGCTTCGATCAAGTCGGTCTCATCCCACTCTACTTCCGCCGGATATTCCTCGGCTTCGATGTCCGGGAGTACCTTACTCCGGCAGGTGCCTATAACCGACCGTTTGGACTTCGGCAAACGCCTGCGTGCCATGGGCCTGACCCCCGTATCACGCGCAGTCGTTGCTTGCTCCATCCGGCCAGTTTTCCTGGCACTGCACGTTTCAGGGCATCGTGATAATTTTAGGGAGCCTGACTCCCAATTGATCTCGGGGTTGTGCTCTCGCAGCCAATCCAACCCGATGATCACATCTTCTGGACCTATGTCCGTGACCGTAAACACTGTCTTCTCGATGTGTTCTCCTATCTGCATCTGTAGCACGGCTACCTCCGAGATGCTTCCGTCTTTATTGAGCGTTCCATCGATATTGTAAAGCGGAATTGGCTCTTTCAATTTCCGTGTTTGTACTCAATTCTCCGTGATGAAACGCTTGTTGATGAACTTTGTAGTGGCTGCGCTGTCCACCATTGCAACTATGTCTTTGTGCCGTCTTTCTCCTTTGAGGTGCACCGGGATGTGGAAATGCTGGGACCCATGGTCCAACTCGTAAACATTTGCGGTCGCCAATACATTGTACAAATTGTTATTACGAGGTCCGACGCGTGCGGCACAAAGCGCGGACCGGATTAAAAACCCTCCTCCTTCATTGCCCAATAATGCTCGAGCTCCTCGCGCATCGACTTCACCTGTGCCATTAAGTCCGCCAGCTCCGATTGCTCAGATTTCGCTGAAGCGGCACTTATACTTGCCGAGGGTGTCGTCGTGATGGGGGCGCTTGTCGCAGCCTGGGTGGAGCCCGAGGCAACCGTAGCCCGCGCGTCGGCGCGTTTTGTGTAAGGTTTGTCCTTACAGTTGGGGCACTCGAAGCGTCGGTACCCTTGCTTCCCACAGCTGAAGCATGTGCCGGGGAAGTTTACTTTTCCAACAGCCGCATTGATGCTGGCCAAAGCTGCGTGTGATGAGGGTGCACCACCACGTGCCCCTCCGCGTCCTCGACCTCGTGCCGAGAAGAAGTTGTTTAGCTCGGGCCGACGGGCTCGGCTGATGTCGAGAATCTGCTCGACCTCAGTGGCGCGCTTCTCAGCTGCTTGCCACGTGGTGAAAGTCTCGAGCTCGATCTTGCGGTAGACGCGGGAGGGGATGCCACTCAGGTACTTGTCGCCCAGCTCCAGGTCCCCATACCCAGAGCGATCTGCCGGACCCTTGAACAGTGCGGAGAACTCCGCCACGGTGCGTTTTTCACGGACCGACTTGTCCGCGCAGAGCTTCGCCAGCTCTACTTGTGCTGCCGCCTCGTCGTCGAGATTTCCGAAGCGGGCCCTGAAGGCGGCGGCAAAGGCTGCTTCGTTCGCGAATGGGGTCGTGGCCCCTTGTACTCCTATCTGCACCGACATGAGCTGGGCGAAGTAGGGAGTGGCCCAGGCGCGGGCGTCTCCATCGAGCAGGCTAAGTGCGACCTGCACCTTGAGTTCGATGGTGGTCAATGACATGTTGATCAGCCAATAGATGCGCAGCTGCGACAGGAACCGGTTGCATTCGATAACGGTCTTGCCATTGTAGCGGAGCGGGAGGAGGAGCTTCAATGTCTCTGTCACGACTTGGTACGGCGTCTAGCCGTTTTTTAATTTTTTCCTTTTTGCAGGCTCGAACCCGCGACCTCTGTACTACTTGCCCGATATGGACGTGTCGCTATCTACTGTACGATTAGATTAGATGGGGCGGCAGCGCACGGCACAGCTCGGGCTCCGCTGACACAGCCGCTCTGACTCACCGGCCCCCGGGGCCGCGTCGGCATGCTGCGCACGGACCAGCTGCGCACAGACCAACACGCACAGCCTGCCCTAATCTCCCCATGTATATAAACCGGCCTCTGCTGCCCTAGGGACCTCAGTTTCGACCTCTTGTCCCTAGGTCAGTAAGCCTTTATTTGTATTCTTTACTTACCCTTACTGACTAATACATTTTCTTGTCCCTAGCCTTAGGTTTGAGCCTAGCTCACCATCGCTTTGGTAAGATAAGTCGAACGCCCCCAGCATTTGGTTTTCCCCTGTTGCTCGACCCTAAGTCGCGACATTAGGTCGAAACTCCCCAATGCTGCCGGCGTTCCAAAAAACACTCATCTTCCCTCTCCTATAGGTTGGGTGGTGCGCACCCCTACTATACACTACGATACATAGATAAGTGTACTATACATCGCCACCACTAAGGGAACGAACTTTTCAGTACCTACACTTCAGTGGGCGGTACTTGTCCTCACGGACGCGTAGACTAGGTTCCTGCTGCATACTAGCCAAAAGCAGTACTGGGCCCTACGTGAATTGCGAACCCTAGTGTTACCTCGGGCGCCGTAGGTGTAAGCTAGCTTATACGGCCTTTTGTAGCACGCGCACCTCCCCTTCCTCCCTCCCTCACCGTGGCTGACGAATTCTTCGACTGCTCTCGACTAGAGCATGCCTTCGACACCCAGGAGCAGGTCGACGTCTCTCGCGACGACCCAGACAGCGACGGCAACCTAGCCCCTTTCTTTAGCTGTGATCGGCAACCGTGCCCTAATCGAACCCCACGGTCCGTCACCACCAACGAAGACGAAGGGCGCTACGTGCCAATCCGACGAGTCCAACACCCCAGCGGCCCTGCACTCCAATACACTGGCACCTCGAGATCCACATCTCGCCACGTCACTCCCGTCCCATCCCGACCTGCCTCACCAGGCACCCGCATCCCCCAACCTGTCGCCAGTACAGGTCAAGCGCGAGGAGATCCCCATCTCCCTCGAGGAACTGAGGCAGTCGCACAGTCTTCAGCGACCCCTCAAGCGATCCCCCAGTTCTCCCTGGGGCCGCGGCTAGAAAGGACTCCCAAGACCGAGCCCCGCAACACTCCACCGCATTCTTGGGCCAGCTCGTCGTCAGCGGTCACCGCCTCGACTTCAGTCCCTGTCCTACGTCACCCCGCCTCCGGGCTTCCTCAACCGACTTCACCGCCGTCGCCGCCGCTCGGCCGCTCAAGCACTCATTCCTCGAGAAGTCCGCCCGGCGGACAGTCACAACAGTCGCCTTCGTCCGTGGGCAGTCCTTCGTCCCCCCCGTCGCCAATAATGTCCTCTCCCGCTGCCATCCCTGATAAGGAGACATTGAAACTCCTCCTCCCGCTCCGCTACAATGGCAAGACCGTTATCGAATGCAACCAGTTCCTGTCGCAGCTGCGCATCTATTGGCTGATCAACATGTCATTGACCACCATCGAACTCAAGGTGCAGGTCGCACTTAGCCTGCTCGATGGAGACGCCCGCGCCTGGGCCACTCCCTACTTCGCCCAGCTCATGTCGGTGCAGATAGGAGTACAAGGGGCCACGACCCCATTCGCGAACGAAGCAGCCTTTGCCGCCGCCTTCAGGGCCCGCTTCGGAAATCTCGACGACGAGGCGGCAGCACAAGTAGAGCTGGCGAAGCTCTGCACGGACAAGTCGGTCCGTGAAAAATGCACCGCGGCGGAGTTCTCCGCACTGTTCATGTCGCGACTTGAGGTCAAGCGACAGGGAAATATCTAGAAGCGAGGGGCGTCCGACTGGTTCTCACCGAAGCGATGGTGAGCGAGGCTCAAACCTAAGGCTAGGGACAAGAAAATGTATTAGTCAGTAAGGGTAAGTAAAGGATACAAATAAAGGCTTACTGACCTAGGGACAAGAGGTCGAAACTGAGGTCCCTAGGGCAGCAGAGGCCGGTTTATATACATGGGGAGATTAGGGCAGGCTGTGCGCGTTGGTCCGTGCGCAGCTGGTCCGTGCACAGCATGCCAACGCGGCCCCGGGGGCCGGTGAGTCAGAGCGGCTGTGTCAGCGGAGCCCAAGCTGTGCCGTGCGCTGCCGCCCCATCTAATCTAATCGTACAGTAGATAGTGACGCGTCCATATCAGGCAGGTAGTACAGAGGTTGCGGGTTCGAGCCTGCAAAAAGGAAAAATTAAAAAACGGCTAGACGCCGTACCAACTTGTGACATTACCCCCCCCTCAACGGCGCATGACCTCATGCGAGGCGCCCTTGCCCATCTCCCATCCGGAGCGGCAACGTGCTTCAGTCAGCGGCGAAGGCATTGGCTGAAAGTTGAGACCACCAAAGGTAGCAGCATTGAGGCGGCGAGGGGCGTTCGGATTCTTCCGGTGGAAGTCAGCTATGAGGGCCGGCGCATTGGCAACGTTGCGCGCCAGTTCCCATGACGTATGCGAGTCGTCATAACCCTTCCACTTGACGAGGTACTGCAGCTGACGCCGGAAGATCCTCGAGTCTTTGATCCGCTCAACCTCGTACTCCTCGTCGCCCTCAACCTCGATCGCAGGCGGCTCCTCCGGCTCCCGGCCCGGGATATCGCTACGCGTGTACTTGCTAAGCAAGGAGACATGGAACACCGGGTGTACCGGCACCGACTTTGGCAGGATTAATTCGTAATCCAGGTCTCCGAGCTTTCGCCGCACGGCATAAGGTCCGAGGCGCTTGGGACTGAGCTTCTTGCTCGGCTGTTTCAGCTTAAGGTTCCGGGCATCAAGCCAGACCTTGTCCCCCGGCGCGAAGACCGGTGCCTCCTGCACGTGCTTGTCATAGTATACTTTCATACGCTCGGCTGACAGCTCGAGCGCAGAGCACATATCGTCCCTGATCTCCTTCAGGATTTTGAGCCAATCAGCGGCCGCAGGCATCGCAGACATCGGATTGATCCGAACCTGGATCTCAGGATTGTACCCTTGATGCAGGTAGAAAGGGGAGTGCCCGGTCGCGGAGTGAACTCGGTTGTTCAATGCGAACTCCGCAAGCGGCAACTGCTTCGCCCAATCATCTTGCCTGTGGCTTGTGAAAGCGCGCAGGTACTGCTCGATCTCCTGATTCCAGCGCTCAGTCTGGCCGTCCGTCTGAGGGTGGAATGCTGTGGACAGCGCCGGCTCGATTCCCAGTCCCCTGTACACCGCATGGAGATACTTCGAAGCGAACTGGGGACCTCGGTCTGATATGACCTTGGCCGGGGCCCCATGATGCTTGAACACATCGCGGATGTACAGGTCTGCCGCACCTTCTGCCGTCAGGGTCTCATGACAGGCTGAGAAGTGGACCTGCTTGGTAAAGCGGTCGGCGGTAACCAGGATCGAGTCGAATCCATCAGACTTCGGCAAGCCGACGATCATATCGGTCGTGATGATCTGCCACGGGCGCTCAGGGATCTCGTTCGGCTTCAGCGGACCCTGGGGCTTGGCTGGGAATGTCTTGGTACGGTTGCACACGTCGCAGGTGCTTATGTACTCATTGACGAATTTGGACATCCCAGGCCACCAGTAGTTCCGCGACACGAGCTCCAGGGTTTTGGCACGACCGCCATGACCGGCGATCGGCGAGTCGTGGTTGTCACGACTTGGTACGGCGTCTAGCCGTTTTTTAATTTTTCCTTTTCGCGGGCTCGAACCCGCGACCTCTGTACTACCTGCCTGATATGGACGCGTCACTATCTACTGTACGATTAGATTAGATGGGGCAGCAGCGCACGGCACAGCTCGGGCCCCGCTGACACAGCCGCTCTGACTCACCGGCCCCCGGGGCCGTGTCGGCATGCTGCGCACAGACCAGCTGCGCACGGACCAACATGCACAGCCTGCCCTAATCTCCCCATGTATATAAGCCGGCCTCTGCTGCCCTAGGGACCTCAGTTTCGACCTCTTGTCCCTAGGTCAGTAAGCTCCTGTATTCTCTCATTTACCTTACACTAACTAATACACTTTCTTGTCCCTAGCCTTAGGTTTGAGCGCTGCTCATCATCGCTTCGGTGAGATTTAGTCGGACGCCCCCAGCTTTCAGATCTTCCCCTGTCGCTTGACCTCAAGTCGCGACATTAGGTCGAAACTCTCCACAGCTGCCGGCGTCCCTCGGGACTCCCACAAACTCACATTCACTTCCTATAGGTTGGGTGGTGCGCACCCTTACTGTACCCTACGATACCTAGATAGCGTACTATACATCGCCACCACTTAGGGAACGAACTCTTCAGTACCTGCACTTCAGTGGGCGGTACTTGTCCTCACGGACGCGTGGCTTAGGTTCCTGCTGCATACTAGCCAAAAGCAGTACTGGGCCCCACGTGAACTGCGAACCCTAGTGTTACCTTGGGCGCCGTAGGTGTAAGCTAGCTAGCACGGCCTTTTGTAGCACGCGCACCTCCCCTTCCTCCCCCCATCAACGTGGCTGACGAATTCTTCGACTGCTCTCGACTTGAGCACGCCTTCGACACCCAGGAGCAGGTCGACGTCTCTCGTGACGACCCAAACAGCAACG